TTGGTTATAGTTGGCCTTTGCCCAATTTAATACCTTCATCCACAAACCATAAGTGTCCAAAAATTTACAGAATTAAGGTCACTATTCCCAAAATGCTCCCCCACTGAAACTTTGATCACCTGGCTTGACTCATTTCCCAATACCAAGCATACCAGGTCCGGTATGTTTGATTTTACTTCCGTCAAAATCTTTGCATAAGAAAGGCTTGTATCACTTGTATTACACAATCACAAGTAATCTCAATCCACTACAATGTGAAATAAAAAAAGCCTCAAAAACTGAATAAAAGAATTGTTTCTAGATATAGAAAATACTCACTTTTAAGTGTAAAAGGAATGAGAAGGTTGTTGTCTTTGACAATAAATTGTTCCTAAGGTTTTAGAGTAGATTTGTAGCTCGGATTGTGGATGTTGTGGTTGGTTGGCTCGCAGAGCTGGTTTGTTGTTACGCAGACGTTTCATTACCATGCTGGGTAACATCATCAGTGCAGCCTCAGATGAAGCGCTGTTGTGTTTTCCCGCCTGGTATTTAAACTCTAGTGTCCGTTGAGCTGGCTTACCTCACTTCCTGTTTTCCCTTGCAATGGAGTGTATTTAGGGTCTAGCTCTATGTGTTTATTGTTGGCTTTCTTAGTGGAGAACCAGGCTTCTAGGAATTCCCGTGCTTGTCTCTGCTTTGCCTGTCCCATGATCCTGGTGTTGTCCCAGTCGAATTGGTGGTTTTCCTTATTCATGTGGATGGAGGTGAGTGAGTATTGGTCGTGTCTTTTTGTTGCCAGTTGATGTTGTGTACCCTTGTGGTTAATTTCCTTCCTGTTTGTCCAATGTACTGTTTGTCGCAGTCTCTGCAGGGAATCTTGTATATGACATTGGTCCTGTCCATAGCGGGTAGTTGGTCTTTGGTTCCGGTGAACAGTCGGCATAGGGTTGATATGGGTTTGTATGCTACTCTGATGCCCAGTGGTCATAGGAGTCTTGTGGTCAGTTCAGATGTGTTCTTGATGTAGGATAGCATGATGAGTGTGTTAGGGCATGTAGTAATTTCCTGGTGTCGTTCGTGTGATAGGCATCTTCTGAGCCAGTTTTTTGGGTATCCTTTGCCTTTGAATACTTGGAAGAGGTACTCTTCTTTTTGGCATAGTTCTGTGCTGCTGCAGTGTGTTGTTGCCCGTTTAAATAATGTTCTCGAGCAACTTTGTGTGTGTTAGGGTGGTTGCTGTTGAAATTCAGTACTTGGTCAGCATGTGGCTTTCCTGTGAACCTTTGTTAGGAATTTCCCATTGGTCCTGCATTCCACCATGACATCCAGGAATGGGAGCTTTTTGTTCTTCTCCCCTTTTCTGGTGAATCTGATCCTGGTGAGGGTGTTGTTTATTAGTTCGTGTCTCTCCTCTAGATTGGTCTGTTTAATAATGACAAAGGTGTTGTTCATGTTGCGTTTCTATAGTTTTGGCTGGATTAGGGGGAAGGGCCATACTTGTTTAAATGACAGGCGGGAAAACACAACACCATTTCATCGGAGGCTGCACTGATGATGTTACCCAGCAGGGTAATTAAACGTCTGTGGAACAACAAACCAGCTCGGCGAGCCAACCAACCACAATAAATTGTTCCATCAACAAGTGGAAGAAAACACAACCAATAATGCAGTAATAACCTTGCAGAAGCTAATTTCAATAGCAATTGAAAATGAATAATGACACAAAATAGGAGATACTGGCTGGTGGAATTTTTATTCAACAGATAACAATCTGGAATTGAAACGTAGTATCAGTGATGGTGGTGACCAAGAAACAACTGTCACAAAATCCATCAGGTTCACTAACGCTCTCAGTCTGGACTACAGGTGACTCCTGAACCACACAAATGCAGTTGAATCTTACGTGCCCTCTGAAATTGCCCAGCAAATCACTCAGTTCAAGGGATACAATTAAAGATAGTGACTAAACATTGGCCTTGCCAGCAATATGCACATTCATCTCATGAAATGATTTGTTTTGTAAAAAAAGAGGGCCTTAATGTAGTGCTGCAAGCTCAAAACCTTCACCAGTCTTCCAGACTGAAAACATTAAGCCAATGGTCAGATTTACTGATGACTTAAATAGAAGAGATGACAAAAACACAGCCCAATGGTAAAACAACTAAAATCAGTATATGTCACAATTGGAGACTGCGAATTGTTTTACCCAGTGGTAATTCTTGTTGTAAGCTATAATGTTATACAATAACATCTATTTCAAATCAATTATGGTCACCTGCTAATGATCTGGGTGAAAATTGGCCCTTAACCTTTCCACTTGAAGTAGATTGTGAGCTTATAACACCCAACTTTTAAAAATTGCCTCAAAACACAATAGTTTGGTACCACAGCTCTATCAAAAAAAAAGGTCAAGCATTCCATGGTTTGACTCGGGCAAATCCCTGGGAAACTCCAGAGCTAATGTAGGAAGTGTTGAGAAACTGCAAATCTTCAGTGTTCCATTCTGTGCCAACAGTAATTTGGCACCACGCTCTGCATTTCTGATTTTACTGCTGTTTCAGTGCATGCTGACACCTTCAATAATTTCCAGGTTTTAGCATGCAGCTACTGATTTGTATTCAAAAATAAGTCTAAGAATTATTCAACTTAGTTAATATTATCAATTCCTCTTTATTCATTTGAGAGATGTCAGCTTCATTGGCTAGGCTGACATTTAGTATCCCTGATCTCCCAGTTATGAGTCTACCACTTTTCTGTGGATCTGGAACTATATCAGCCAGGTAAGGATGGCAGATTTCCTTCCTTAACAGACATTAATGAACTTTTACAACAATTAACAGTTGTTATTACACAGTTGCCATCAGGCCATTTCTTTATTCCAGATTTTGTCAAATTCATATTTGATCATAGTGGGACTCAAACCCATACTCCCAAAATTTCAAAGGGGGCTCATTAGTAAAAGTTTTCAATTTGACATTAAGGCAGTCCACAGTGAATAGCACAAATGAAAGCAGATAAAGTGAAAACTGCAGCAATGACATCCTGTTTGTGCCTGGATGAGGAAAAACTGAAACAGAAGTCTCACACAGCTATGAAATTACGAAGGTTGCAGAAATTTTGATTGGAAAGTCAAGCGTTTATGTACAGAATGGGCAATTAAATTCCAAATAAAAACTAGGCTTTTTTTTTAAAAAAAAAGGGATTGAGAGGCAGCCTCCTACAATATCAACTGACATGGGGACCAGTCAGGCAAGTTGGATGGTCAATAAGTTAGTGCGAATGGGATCAGACTAAGAGATAGGTCTCAAATCTGGTAAAACGTTACACAGATTCATTCCAACAAGGTGACAGTTAACACAAGTAGAACTAACTATAAAAGCAAAAAATATTCGTTTCCAAGCACTATGGTCTTTTTAAAATCCAAGACTGTTGCAAGTTGGTAATTGTTTTAATTGAATAGATGTCAAACTTTGTTTTAATTATTTTGGCAATTGGTTGCTGGATGGAAGCTATCATGAAGTCATATGAATGTTGCAATTTCCACAAAAAAAAAAAAATCAGTATTTCAAAACAATCATGAGGCAGCACTTTAAAAATGTTTCTAGGCTATAACTCATTGCTAGATTAGTCATGGGATATTAAACTCCATATCCACCAACTTAATCCTGGCAACCACCATTCTGCATAAGTTTGTAGAAGCTACCTAGTTTGGGTTTCAGACCAAGTCACTCCATTATGTTTGCTTCAAAGCACAATTCACCCAAAGCTGCCATTTAGATTTTACCCAGTAACTGACCATTAATCAGATTAATACCAAAATCCTAAATTAGATTACTGTACCAAATTAGTTGCTGAAACTAGCTCTACTTGGCTGGAGCTGAATTTACAGTAAATGCTTACTCAAAGGATACAAATATGAATAGGCTCACATGCTGAATAAAAAGAGGGGAATGTGGATTAACTGCTAGCATGAAGATGTGGGTAAAAATTTTAAAAAAGGGGGCTCACAAATCAGAGTGAGAAGACAGCCACTTCTGAAAGCAGAGATGTTAATTTGCTTACTACACAAGTAGTCTAACCTCAGTTTCAGGCACATTTGCTTGTAAATCCATCTGAGATGATTAATGAACATTCATTAACAAAGCCAAGTCACACCTAAAAAATAACCTTTGAGCATCTGATGCTTTCACCTGAAAGTGTTTCAAAAATGTCATACAATAATTTAAACAGAAAGTATTAAGGAAGTTTAACACCAGCCATATTATTGTTTGCTGTCCATTAATCAATCAACATTGCTCAGGTATGTTTTCTGCATGTGCCGGTTCCAAAGTTAACCCAACAACTATTTCTTAATTTGGAAGATAAACAAAACCAAATTAATGGCAGTAGGTGTTAGCTATCAGTATCACCACTTTGCAGTAAAACAGATGATTTGCGTAGCCCAGTCCCCCACCTTGGAGTAACCCAAATTTTAAAATCAAAATTAACTACACTTAACTGTTTGGTGTACAGTTGCTTAGCAAGTTTAAATAAAATCTCCCATATTCCTATGTCTTCAACACATGTGCAAGCTGAAGCAGGAGCAATGGCAACCCACTGGGGGCCCCTACCCCTGCCCCACTGGGGGCCCCGGCCCCTGCCCCTACCCCTGCCCCACTGGGGGCCCCGGCCCCTGCCCCTACCCCTGCCCCACTGGGGGCCCCGGCCCC